TCCCGAAGGTATCCTGAATCTTTCGCATTGTTAATCATACAAATGCTTATAATAAACACAAATATCGATGATAATTATGCCATTATATAATTTCGAAAAATTAACGCACTGTATTAATTTTAATTTATCAACACTTTATCAAATTAATGACATTTATTCTATGTTAAAATGCAAGCATAATAATTTGAATAAACTATAAGCCATATTTTATNATAATATAATTCAATAATATCAAATATATCACTAAATAATATATATTTGATATTTTCGATATTTTTTTGCTAATGTATATTGGTACAGCTCTATTCTGCGCATCGAAAATAAATAGCTCCCATAAAGAAAACAGAAACCTTACATATGTTTTAACATTTTTGATCCTTATTCCGCTTTTTTGTGTTTTTAATATGACTTATTCAACTATTTTTCTTCTTCTATTAGAAGAAAACACCCACAGATTTTTTCGCAGTACGAAAATCCTCCAGATCATATATCCATCTCGCACACCCCACACCTCGCAAAAATCACCACTTCTGCATAACCTTTCCTATTTTTCTAGAAAACTGTGAGAAAAAATTCCTTTGCTGAGGTTTTTTCCGTTGGCTTTCGTGGTAATTGGGACCAAACCACTAACCAAACACACATTCGGTGTCCGTGTAAAGTCAAGAAATACCCAGTTTTGTGAGCTAAGCGAATAGGGACGTGTGAGACGCTTCGAATATACTCTTGTATCAGTGTGATATCGCAGCAATCTGGGAGCAACTTTCGGTTTCACTAGCTCTTAAAGTATCTGAGTACTAGCCGACAAACAAGACTGCCAGACGGACAGACAGACATGCCTATATCGACTCGGCTATTGAACCTTATCAAAACTACTAACAGAATATATATTCTTTATGGGGTCGGAAACATTTCCTTCTGTGCGTTACATACATCATGATTCACATATATTTTTATATTAAAAACATTTCGTTACATATATACATATACGAGATTTTGATTTTTTTTCCTGCAGCCCTAGTAAGTATTTTGTTTAAAATGTGACGGTTTGTCGCATGGTAGAATTACTAATTACTAGAATTAGTAGTTTCACCATCGTTTGTCGGCTATAAGCATTAAGCAACTGTATAAAGTTCCTAATTTTCTAATTTTTAGTGCTCGTTTGCTTGCCGACGCGGAAGGTTGGGCGCTCACTCCATTGTCGTTTCACTCACAATTACAGCGAGAGCCCTTTCACTCGCACTTATTGACAGAATTGTCAGCCTCCCTAATTTTTGCCGACTAGACCTCCTTATATAGTTGCTTCATGGCTATAAGCATGTCTTTTCCCGCTCGCACAGCAACAGCAGTGGCAAAACAAAGGGAAGACTGTTGTCAACAACTTAACAAGTCTCTGGAGGGAGCCCCTCTTCCAGGGGATCTCCAAGAAGCCCTACCTTCACGTGAATGAGCAGAACGACCAGGTCAGCACAACACGTTTGCACTGGGCCAGACGTATCTGTCCCAACATTTTCACCTTGACACGAGAGAGCCCGCAGCACATGAAATCAGTTGACAGAAAGTTCTTGAAATTTTCTGCTTACCGCGCACACATAAATGTTATAAAATACAATGTCGTTTTCTCAGAGTTGCACATTTGCTGAAAAGTTTTTGCTATGAGAGACGACAGGCACAGATACCAAGCAGCTGCAATCGCCGTCGTGTTGGGTAAGGTTCATTATGATTTTGTGGAATATTTGCATTTCATTTGTTATAAATGTATTTCGGACAGTCTTGCAGCAATGCAGCGGCCTGCCTTATACGTCGTCAATGGTCGGGAATGGGAATGATATCGATGGGGATACATATCAGCACTCTGGAGGTGGACGATCGGTGGACTATCACACGGTTGTAGGCCATTTCAAGGACTTCTTTATGTATCTTCCTGTGATGATGACCACTATAAAAGAGACCATGTCTGGCTTCCCCAAATTCGCCGAAGGCGTGCGTATTCTAACGTCTGGCAAGGGACGCGTCGACGGAGGCGAGGAGTGCAAGTGCAGTCAAAATTCCTTGGGAACGGGCGCCAGTAGTGAAATGTTGGACGGTAATGGTCGCTTTGGTTGATAGTTGATGGTATGGACAGAGACAACGACAATAAAATGATTGGAAATGGCGATACATCGCTCTGATTCATTGCATTCTGGGAATGAAATTGAAGAAACTTTGATTTCCTTCGATCGCTGCTTAACAAAAAAATTAAGAAATTAGATGGAAGTGAACTTTGTATGTCGATGGAAAGGTTTCGTTTCATGTTGTAATCCATGGAACATTCGAGAAGGCCGCAATAAAGTAGAAAATTAATTCGAGGCAGTCGATTTTCCAACCTATGACCCTAAGAAGTACATCATGATACGTCCTTGAACACGTAAGTGGGCTACATATACATACGTGTAATCCATAGACCATTTTGGGTGGACTTTAACTATATTTCGACACACAATATTTTCTTAGGCTGTCGGCATTGGCTGGCTCATGCTCATTAGCTTCATTCGTGTCAATATGGGACCCTTGGGGAGGCCCACGTATGACTCCTGCCCGAATAATGAAGGGTAGGAGGGAAGGGACAGGAAAGGAAGCCTAATCAAAACTTCTAATCTGCATACAATGTAGAGGGGCGGTGGAGGTTGAGTGGTTACTGCTGACTGTCATGTTTGCACTTGTCATTATTGTTAATTGTATTTGCCGTGTGTCGATGCATGCATGGGCTATATTTACATACCAATCCAATGGTCGTGGCAGAGCACTGTAACTCACGGTGTCCACAACGAAGCACTTTCCATTTCAGTGAGCTCCACGGCGTTGAGAGGAAGGCAACTGCAACCGATCCCGAGTACAGCATGTCCAGGAAGCGAAAAAAGCTGAGCCACTAGACAAGCAACGAACAGCCAAAAACGGAAATTTGCATCTCATCTCACAACGATGGCCACGGGAATTGAGCTTATTGTGGCAGCGGCCATGTGCGTTGCATGTCCGGCTTTAAACGAGTCCCTGCCCGCGAATTTGATCCAGCTGAGTGATGACGGCAGCAGGAGCCTTTCCACCGAAATGCCCATCGATGTGGAGGCCACTGACGCCGGCCTGGACAGCGATACGCCCGTGGAGACCCTGGAGACGATAATCAACAAGAAGCTGAAGTTGCGCGAGATGCGTGACTGGATCAAAGGCAAGCACCTCCGCATCGCCACCCTCGAGGACTATCCGTTGAGCTATACGGAGGTACTGGACAATGGCACGCGCATCGGCCATGGCGTCTCCTTTCAAATCATCGATTTCCTCAAAAAGAAGTTCAACTTTACGTACGAGGTATTCGTGCCGCAGGACAACATCATCGGTTCGCCCACCGATTTTGATCGCAGTCTCATCGAGATGGTAAACAGCAGTGTGAGTATCTGGTAGGGCAGGGATTTACTTGGTAGCCTTAAGGCCAACCGCCCGCCCTCTTCCTTCGTTCCTTCCTCAGCTTGTGGATCTGGCAGCTGCCTTCATTCCCTCACTTTCGGACCAAAGAACCTTCGTCTACTATTCGACAACCACCTTGGACGAGGGCGAGTGGATAATGGTGATGCAGCGGCCCAGGGAATCCGCCAGTGGCTCTGGCCTGCTGGCACCGTTTGAATTTTGGGTCTGGATACTGATACTCGTATCCCTGCTAGCCGTAGGACCCATCATCTATGCCCTGATCATTCTACGGAATCGCCTGACGGGCGACGCCGCTCAACATCCCTATTCGCTGGGACACTGCGCTTGGTTCGTGTACGGAGCGCTAATGAAACAGGGCAGCACCCTGTCGCCCATTGCCGGTGAGTGCAGTCTGTTCAGTTTAGCTGCAATTAGGCCAAAGTGCAGCTGAGGACCGATATGAATCGCTCTAATGAAGGGAGGGCTTGGAGATTGGAGTTTGGAGATAGCATGCTTTGGTCCCGTTTGTCGTTTCAATAAATTCATTATAACTTATAACATTGCAGACTCGACCCGTCTGCTATTCGCCACCTGGTGGATATTCATCACGATACTGACGTCCTTCTACACGGCTAACCTGACGGCCTTCCTTACCCTCTCCAAGTTCACGCTGCCCTACAACACGGTCAACGATATATTGGTGAAGAACAAACACTTTGTCTCGATGCGTGGTGGTGGGGTCGAGTATGCCATACGTACGGTAATTCAATGGATAGACTGCGACAAAATTGCAAATACGAGCTACTTTTTGGTTGCAGACCAACGAATCGCTGTCCATGCTGAATCGCATGATACAGAACAACTATGCGGTCTTCTCCGAGGAGACGAACGACACGTACAATCTCCAGAATTACGTGGAGAGGAATGGATACGTGTTTGTTCGGGATCGACCAGCGATCAATATAATGCTTTATCAGGACTATCTGTATCGCAAGACAATCAGCTACAGCGACGAGAAGATCCACTGTCCATTTGCCATGGCCAGGGAGCCGTTCCTCAAGAAGAAGCGCACCTTCGCCTATCCAATTGGCTCGAATTTGAGCCAGCTCTTTGATCCGGAGTGGGTAGGATATAGCCAGACCGAGTATAGATTGTAGCATTCTCGTATTTCCAGGTTACTCAATCTGGTGGAATCGGGCATTGTGAAGCATTTGTCGGCCAAGGATTTGCCCAGCGCCGAAATATGTCCCCAGGATCTGGGCGGTACTGAGCGGCAGCTGAGAAACGGCGACTTGATGATGACCTACTATATAATGCTGGCCGGATTCGCCACATCTCTGGCCGTTTTCAGCACCGAACTTATATTCCGGTACGTGAATAGTCGCCACGAGGCCAACAAGTGGGCTCGACACGGCATCGGACGCACTCCCAATGGCCAATCCATAAAACCATCTCGCTGGCTGAGGGGCTGGCAGCGCCTGGACAGCGGAAAAAAGCAGTTGCTGGGCACCTCCACCCAGGGCCAGAACGTTACTCCTCCGCCGCCCTATCAGAGCATTTTCAACGGTGGCCATGCTGCCGTGGCTGCAGATCCTCGCCATCGCTGGAAACGTGCCGTGGGCCAGAGCAACGGGGTTCTTCTCGGCAACGACGCGCTGACCGATGGTGGGGTAAGGCGATTGATCAACGGCCGAGATTACCTCGTCTTTCGCAACCCAGACGGCCAGAGTCAGTTGGTTCCCGTCCGATCGCCTTCGGCCGCGCTATTTCAATACACCTACACCGAATAGGATATATAATATATATATATATGTACCTATGTTTATTTGATACGATCTTGTTACCTGCACCATTAACCTCCACACAAAAAATACGTAGACATCAGATGTTGTGCCGTTTTACAGAGATCTCCAATAAAGTGCACCTAATGAGTAATATTCAAAATTTATTTTGATGTTCGTTCGAGTATCCTTTATTTCTATGTTGCTTCCTTAATTATTGGCTAGATATCGTTCCGGAAATCGATGCTTCTTCTTCAGAGATAAGCATGCTTCGAGTGTCGGTCAACAGTTTTGCACAAAAGAAGAGTAAGTAATAATTCTGACGTTCTTTGATTAAATGCAGAACCACGAGGTTTCTGCAAAAGAAAGTCCTCTGTAGCTCTTACGGAGAAAGAAGAATTTTTCTCTTACAAGAAAAATACTATTTCGTTTTATTTATTTGACTAATTTACGACTGGTGTCACTCAGTTAGTCTACTGTGGTGTGTGGAGTGAATGTATAGGACGACTGCATGTCCAGGCTGCTGCTGGAAGAGCAAGAGCTCCTCGAGGGGGCTCGAGACGAAAAGGCCGACGAAGCGGAGGACGAGCCACTGGAGGAACTGACCCAGGCATGGCCCAGGTGACGACGTTGCCGCACCAGACCGAGAACCGAGCCAGCCACTGGAGTGGAAGTGGATGCCGCTGATAACTGCCGCCGTATGCTGGAGTTGAGCAAGAGCTGTGCAGGGGCTGGAGCCGTTGACGGGCGTCCCGTCGACTCATTGCTCCCTGCGGACACCTCACTGGAGAGCGAGGAAGGGGATTCATCGTTCTCCACTATTTGGACTGAAATGTCTGCTGCCGTGTTGAGAGTGTTTCCGTCCAGAAGCTGCAATGTGGTCACGCTGCGTCTGAGCATGTCGTGATAGAGTGGCAGGCGACAGACTGGATTCCCCTGCAGCTCCACCTCCATCAGCAGCGGACACATGCCCAGGAATGAGAGCAAACCTAGCTCACTGATTCGATTGTTTCGAGCCCTAAGCACGCGTAGTTGGGACAGCTCTACTAGGGGATCCACACGCTGGATCATATTACCATCGGCTATTAGGACCTTGATGGCGGGCAGGCCGCTGGTGCCATCGAAGCTGTTGAGGCCGCAGTTGCTGATATTCAAGTTGGTCAGCTGCAGCAATCCGTAACCCAAGTCCCGCAAAGAGCTCAGCACACTGCCGCTCAGGTCCAGGTTTTGGAGTCGGGGCAGAAAAAGCGACAGCCGGGACAGACTGATCGTATAGGAGATCACCCTGAGTCGCACCGTCTCCACCGCCTCCAGGTCCGTTCGCTGCGTTACTCTCCGCTAAAAGAGAAGAATTTTAGTTGCTGCTGCACTTCGATTTCACGTAACCTACCAGGAGCTCGTCCAGAGTCGGCTCTGGGACCTGGGGCAGCACTACGGGCAGCATGTGCACAAATGCCGGGAAATGTTGCGTTTCCTCGACATTGGCCACATCCCGATCAAACGAGTTTCGGCGGGCCAACTGCCGTCGATGGATTTGTGGTGGCTGCTGATGCTGCTGTACCTCGGGCGGTGGCAGACGTACCTGGGCTAAGGCTACTGGTCCCACTGGGGCCGCCAACAGAAGCGGCAACTCCGCCTGCAGGGAATGCTCTGGCGAGGATTCCAGATACTCCGCAGGCGCCTCCAGAAGGGGCATTGTCAGCAATGGAATGTTCCCTACCGTCTGTGCTGACCGACGCTGTTATGACTGGTTTCATTGATATAATAAGCTCCAGGTTGCCATGGTGATTCCTATTCACATTGGCGGCGTAGCGTACATATGTACAGATACAGATGTGGTGAATTGTAGACAGGGTTGTCGTCTGCTCGATAAATGAGTGAAAAAGTGCATTCATAGATTTATTTTAAAACAAAGAAAAATAATTATTTTATTACAGAATAAATTAAGTGAGTTTTATTTCTTTTTTTTTCGTTGAGTTTCAACTCTTTAGCTGATAATCTTAACATTTTCCGTGCTGCTTGAACCGTAGGTCACAGTGTCCAGCTGCTGCGAGATCTGGATGCAGTTGCGCGTTGGTGCAGAGTAAACTTGTTCCCCCTCAACATTAGCAATTGTTACTTCATCTCTTTAAGCAAGCCACATATTCCATAGATGGCTATCCACTTTTAAGGCAGGCGGAGATTCTTGATCTAGGAGTCTTCTTTGACTCAAAATTTATTTTGTATCGAACATTTGAATTTTATTTTGCGAAGAGCCTGCGCTGTGTTCGGCTTAATGAAGCGCAATGCATGCCATTTCAAAAACCCATAGGAGGCTATGTCTGTACACGTTTCTTGTACGCCCGCGGCTGAAGTAAGCTTCCGTTGTTTGGAACCCCGCTGGTATCGTTCAAATTGTACGTATCGAAAGATTGCAAAGAAAGTTTCTGAAGTTTGCGCTCCAGCCCTTGCACTTTGCTCTCCCTTTAGCATCGTACGACAGTAGATGTCGCCTTGTACATTTCTCCTCTCGAAGATTGTAGGACCATCGCGGCACAGATTATTTTGCAATTATCTGCTCTGCAGAATTGGGTTGAATTGGAATTTGCAATAACGAGCCCAAGTGTACAGCTCTTCGTCAACAAAATGCGCTGCCAGTTGTATTGACTTTTGCCAGGTGAAGGGAGCCGTCAGACGGATGCATTCTGATTTTTTCTGATTTTTTATGGCGAATAAATAAATAATTAAATAAAGAATACCTTTGACTTTTGGTTTCTAAAAAATAAGGCATAATTAATTAAATATGTTTGTGTCGCCCCATTTTCCAAATCATCATCTGAGTATTACTAGAAGACGTTTTTGCAGCCTGACTGCGAGCATTTCGACGTTGCTGGAAGCCGCCTTGGCCTCACTCCTCAGCCGACTTTTTTTTGGCAATATGCCCACTGACGTCAGTGTGACGTCACGGTCATGACGTTTTCTCGCTCTCTCTGTTCTGTGACTTTCTGTCTGCTTGTGCGCTTCGGAGAGCAGAAAGAGTTGGCTCACAAAATGTTGGTGTTGGTGGCCAATTCCTCAGCGCCTTTTGCCATTTCAAGGGCCATTAGCTAACACCAACGCGAGAAGCCTCCTACTCTCTTTCCACAATGCCTCTGACAGACAATTTCTCTGACAGTTGCCTCTCTTTCCCCCACGCTTTACGATAATCGAATTTTCCTGCGCCTGCTCCCTCCCTGTCAATATCTTTGCCGGCTTTTGTGTGCTTCGTTGAGGTGTATATGGTTGGTGGGTTGGCACTTGCTGTTGTTGCGGCGTGGTGTTTGAGGCGAGCTTTTTCCATTGACGTCATCAGAGGCGAAAGCTGCGCAGTAGTTCGAACCAAGCTGCCATCCTACCACGCATTTATCGATTTCCAAGATAGAGAGGGGAGAGAGAGCACGAGAGAGGGGGAGAGAGAGAAAGCGTGCAAAAGTGTGGGCGAATTCAGTTTTGCAAAAAAAAACCCGACAGCTCCCGTGGCAGCTGTGGATGACTTCCAAAAACCAATTTCAATGCACTGAAAATGAACATTTCAACCTGGTAATAGTTAAACAGTTAAATAATATTATTAGGAGGGGAGGTATATGTACTACATACATACATATGTATGTACAATTGATGCATACAAAATCATTTTCACTTGCAGATAGGAGTGAACAGGATTTCTCTCAGTGTAATCCCAGCTGGTTTGGAGTTTGGGCCAGGTGTTGTTCCCAACAAGCTCTCCCTAAACCAGCCAAACGTAGAAAATAAATCCCATTCTATGCTTACAAATTTTTATAGATTCCTATAAATAGAATTTGTCAATAAACCCGACAACACAACAGCACACACACTCTGGCTCACAGTTGGAGCAGACATAGTGTATGTGTATGTGTGTGTGTGTGTGTGTGTGTGTGTGTGTGTGTGTGTGTGTGTGTGTGTGTGTGTGTGTGTGTGTGTGGGTGGGCGCTCAGACACGCACTGTTGACGTCATTGAACGAAAGAAAAGCTTTCGCCTCGACTCGTTACTACGTTACAGGAAGCGGGCCACAAACAACCAAAACCACCGAAAGCGAATCGAAACGAAACGAAACGGCAAGTCGAAGCCCGAGCCGAATGGTAGAGCATAGAACAGGCAAAGCTATTTCGTACACTGCTGGTGAAGCTTAGTTTCAGTCGTCAAGCAGCCGCGGCGACGGACACGGACACACGGATCAATCAGAGGCCAAGCTGTGAGTACGCGTTCGAGTCCTGTGGAGAGCTCTCTGTCACTCTGCCACCACGTCACGCTCTCCTCTGTGGCGCGCGCGTTCTCCTTCACATTCGTTTCCAGTGCCCGATGCCCCTAGATCCTAGAGAAATCCTCCAGGAGGCGACGCTGCAATTGAACCAAAAATAAAATTCAAGAGAAGGCTTCGAGAAAATGCCCAAAGTTCTCGGCCGAGAACGAGCAGTCAAGTGTCCGCGAGTGTAGATCCGTCAGTGTGCTGTTAGGGGGGTTCTGGGGTTGTTTTGTGGGTGCAGCCCCGAGTGCTTAATTATTTGGGTCAAAGCAGGCATCAGAAAACAGCAAGAACGTGCAAAAGCTGCATCTGAAAACAGCGAACCAAAACTTGCGAGCATTCAGCCCATTATCCACCTGTTATGGAGCTTGCCTAGGCCATCTCCAGAGAGCGACAGTGACAGCGACAGCGAGAGCGATAGGACGCAATGGAGGCCAGCCAGCCAGCCAAGGTGCATCGGCAGCACCAGCGACAGCGACGGACGGAGGCACGTCAGCGTCGCCTGGAGCGTGAGGCAGCTGCCACAACCTCATCAACGCCGGAGAGAGATGGTGGTCAGGAGGTGATAAGCACCATAGAAGACTGTGCGGCTGCTCTGAACGATTCCAGCTCAATGGGAGTAGCGGGTGAAGGAAGCACAACAGGAGCGGGGGGAACTACTAGCGCCGGTCGCATCAGTGCCCAGAGCTCGGCGGACAGCATTGAGATGGTTGGCTCCCCCAGTCAGACCTCACAGCAGACTGTGGTGCTGGTGAATGGTCACGCACCGCCCTCGTCGCATGACGCCGCCCAAGAGGAAAGCGCCTCCTTGGGGGCTGTCGAGCATCTGGATTCTCAGGTGACGCCAACGCCCCTGCCGTCGCAGCCTACGAAGCAAAGCGATGGCAGTCGCAACTCATCCGGAGACGCCATGAGCCTGAGGGAGACACTGCAGCAGCTGCCGGCCACCCATGGCCACCACAGGTCTCGACGAACCCACTCGCCACAGCCACTGGCCCTGGAGCCAGACTCCTCGTTCCATCGAGGCATCTTGGGCTACATGGATCGTGAGCTGAAGCAGAGTTCGCCCACGCCGTCGGCCTTGAGCAGTGCGGGAGTAGCGGCAGTCGGAAATGGTGCCGGAGGACCTGGAACATCGCGCAAGCAGCAGTCACTGTCTGATCCGCAAGCCAGTCCCGCGCAGCGATCCCTGCGCTCCCGAAACAGCTTCGACAAGAGTCCGCGTCGCAAACGCAGCAAGTCGGAGTCGCGGAGGAGGAGGGAGCGCAAGCTAATAGCCGCCGGCGAGGTGGAGGTGGTCCGCCAGGCTAACGAAACCCTGATGCGCTACCTGAAACAATGCTCCGACATGCACGATGCCTCGCTGTCCGGCGAGCTGGAAATCGATCAGAGCTACGAGGAGCGACGCGTGCACCGCAAGACGAAGTCGCAGCGGGACAAGCGGGGACAGCTAATCAGTGAGTAGCCAGAGTTCCATTCAGTAAAATCGGGAAAGCTCTTGTCACCCTGAACACCACCTCCCCCAACGATTCTGCGCACTAATGCCCCAATATCTTTCCTTCGTTCTTTCTCCCAACCCTAACTTATTTCCTCCAGGCAAGCTGTACACGGCGGGGGGGATATCATCCATACTGAAGGAGCTGGCCGATGACATTGCCCCGGCCGAGGGTGAGGAGATCTACAACCCATTCACACCGGTCGTCTCACCCACGGACGATGCGCCCGCGCACATCGACAAAATGTTTCTGCAGACGTCATCCGGCTATCGACCAGTGGAGCACAGCTACTACAAGCGCTCCTTCCTGGGGGCTGCCGTACGTGGCTCTGATGGCACGTCTGGCGGGGGTCCTGTGGGCGGCATAAATGGCATCTCGGCTGCCGAGCTGGGTGGCGCCGGTCGTCGTCTCTATCGCTCGAATAATGGCCACTGCCTTGGCGGAAGTGCTGGTCCTGGCGGCGGTTCAACCAGCGGACGTGGCAGCTATGGTGACACTCGCTGCCTGCTCGATGCCGACCTCAATCGGTGAGTGAATACCCAAAAATCAAAGCATGCATATGGGGGAAAAAAGACTAGCGTTGATTTAGATATTCAGGAGGGTTCAAGTAAACATTTTTCATTCATTTTAGTACGCCCTGTGGATTTATATATTGTAAATGTATAATCGCAATCTTTCCAGCAACGGCATCTCCAGCAGTATCCAACTTGCCTGTGTAGTTCAACGAATCTGGCTGCTCATGTCGAATATATGCCACGGCCTGCTAGCTGGTCTAGCATTGGCCCATCTACTATTTGTGCTGAACAGCCACCCCATGGATTGGGCAAAGGTCATCAATGGCATTAGTCTTGCTGGCGAGACAATGTCATCCCCATCAACATCATCCACACCGCCAGCAATGGACTTGTCCACAACAAGAGCAAGCCCCACAAATTTGGGCCTAAATGCTGGTGGCACAGATCCCAGCGGATCAGCATCCTCGGGGTCAGGAACATCGGTGGCAAGCAACAGCGATGCTTTAGCCCTGATCAGCGACTATGCGGGATTTGCGGAGATCTACTTGAATACCTTCTATTGCTTGGCCATTGTGTGCCTGGTTTCGGTATTCGATCGGTGAGTAATGTCCTTTGGATTAGGTAATGATTTTACAAGTATGGATGATTTGCATACAGATAGTAGTCCGGAGTGTCCTTTTTTCGTATCTCCATATCTAACACTGTCGCAATTACCTCAACGTAGTTTTCCTTGAAACTGCGTTACACATTGAGTGAAAATCCACTCGCCCATCCCGAAGGTATTCAACGACTGTCCTTAGCAGTCCCTTGATGGCCTTTGTTTTTATGAAAAGTCAAATTAGGCGGAGCGACTGCGGCGTGAAACCTTCGTAAGAAAGTTTGCTAAAAATAGACCGAAAGCTGAAAGAGTACGCCTCGTGGCTAAAGGCGGGGTCGGGTCTCAAGAACACATTGACCTCAGAGTTGGGCCTCGCCATCACTTTCATTGAGCTAAAAATCAAAGTTAGATGGGTAGCGAAACCCCCAACCTCTCCTGACTCATTGCGTTGTAGACGTTAGACTGAACCGTCCGTTTCATGGCACCAGCGTAACGCTGAGAATGTAACATCTTGTGTACATACATTCATACATATGCACATATGTATGTAGTGAAGTGGTCTGTATTTTAGTTTGTATTTGCTTATGGCACTTTTTTGGTTTCGTGGGACATGGAAATAATTTCTATAGCACTCATTGCGTGGTCGCTTTCATCAGCCGCAAAATATTTTAATGCCCTTAAACTTTGCTCTTTTTGCATGCCACAGTCGCTGCCCACACAGCGGTGGCGACGCCGACGTCTCTGCCTGCACTCTTGACCTTTAAAGGCTGCGCCGGTTGATTGTCTGTGTGGGTGGATGGGTTGCTGGTGGAATCAGCTTTGGCTCTTTGACTTGGTTTTGGGGTCTGGGTTATCCTTTCTCCGCTTCGCTCAGGAACTGTCTGCCGCTGTTTTGCTTTTCGGCTTGCAGAAGTGTGAAACTGTGCATGACATTTCTTAGCCGGTTGATTTATGTGTGTGGGTTTGTGTGTGTGTGCGAGGATGCCCCATGCAAAGTATCTCCGCTCCCACTCTGGCAGTGGAGTCACAGCTTTGACCTTTCCTAGTTGGCAAATGGTGTGCATTTGAGAGAATTTCTTCAATTATGAGAAGTGTTAAAATATAAATGTCAGCCAGAGGACGCCCACCATCATGGTGGGCATCTAACGAATAATTTAGTCAAAATATTCCTGGAATCTCCTTAAAGGACAATCAATGAAGCCCGGAGTGAAAGACAAATCAGAAGCTGCGCTCTCCTTCTTCTCGCTCGTTGTGGCGGCATCGCAGATAATATTTCTTTGCGTTTTAAGAGTTACTATTATTCGAATTTCTCAAAGTAACTCACATTTCATTGTTCGATCTGGGTGCCCTTATAGCAGTGGCACAAGCAAATTGCTTTGTTTTCTTTTCAGCTATGACAAATTGTTGTCTATCCATATTTTAATTGTGATATAGTTTGGTCATTTTACCTTATCCAAACACATTTTATATTATTGCAGCATGGACATTTGTCGCTGGAGCTTCTCGAACGCTAGTGAACTGATCTCATTCCGTTGGCTCATCATCACAATGATCTACGTTGCGACAATAATTCTAACGATCTGCTCCGATTCGATCGATGAAAAGCTTTACCTGTTCAATAATAATGCTAATATAACATTAACCCAACAGGAGTTGGTGAGTAGTTTCTGGAATATAATCTGATAACGATTACCAAAATATTGGTTTTCCTTGCAGCTGAGCAACAGTGTGCGGGGAGTGTGGAGCAGTCTGTCGGTGACGCGGAGCATTGCCGCCATATCGGGCTGGATAATGATTGGTCTGACGCCACAGGAGGACATGCTGTATGAACATCTGGTTGATCTTACCAAGTATCAATTGACAAATAATTGAATATAAGGCGTAAGCATATTATACAAATTTGTAAATATTCTCGTACTCGTACTTGTAGTTGAACATTTAGCAGCTGTTGTTCAGGTTTTTGCTTTTTATATGACATAATCCGAGCGTATATAAATCTTTGATGTATACCCAACATATTAAGCTTTAAAATCGTATATTGAAGATTCACATGGATGTCCTTCACAGGCCGCTATAACAAAATACAAAATACAAACCAATTAACAAACACACAAACACGTAAACTTTACGTCGTAAAGTGACAAAAATCTAGTTAACTATGGAAATGTAGCATATGTAGATAATGATACAATATGTTTGCAAGTAGGAGGCAAATTACGAAATATATACATACATATATTTATCATACGAGTATAGATGTATCCTTTACTTATGCATACATGCATTATACAATATGTTCCATAAATAGATATACAGATACTTATACACACTATACAGATATGTATATACATATACTGGTATATACATATGTATATACAATTATTTTTCGTACACATATCGTCTAAAGAAAGTTTTGCAGAAATTGTACAAGAAATGCTTTCCAAACCGAAGCTACAGTAGATAATTCTATATCAAACGATACAAAAAAACTTTTGTAAATATTGTTAATCGCATGTATTGCCGATATACATATATGAAAACACATACATATATTAATATAAACATTAGGAAATTATTTACGAATTGTTAGAGAAGAGAATGTGGAATTATCAATTTATTATATTTCATTAGCTACAACATTATTTCTTTTTCGGATTTGAGGAAACTGGCAATTATTTATTTCTTAAAATCATGTTTCAGTTGAACCGATCTGTACATAAGCTGAGTGCAATAATATAACGAATATAACTGAATTTAATTACAATTAGCTTACATAAGTACATATGTACAAAGATAATTTGAATTAAACCGGGAAAGGATTTACCGAGCTAACGAATCAATCGATCGATGAAAAACGACGCCATGGACATCACATTGTAAACTTGTATATAAAAAATATGAATGCAAATAAAAAAACAAACACAAATATTACTAGTTTACTGTGGGCTCAGCTTTAACATATAATTGCTGCTGGAAATAACCGCGTTGTTCAAAAGTTCAGTCAAGTGGTGAGGTTTTTTCCCACGTTCGCCGTCCGAGTTCTGTAACATTGTGGTGATAAATTCATAAAATTATTCCTTTTTTTTTTAATTATTTCGGTAAGTTTATTTATTTATATATTGTTTAATAAACAGAGAAACAATAAGTAAATTGGCATACGAGTTTGTTTAATGAACAGTAGCAGTCATCATTTAACTTAAATCTGAGAACAATACCAGCATTACTACAGAATTTTCCAATAATGTTTGGGGCTTGCTTGCGGATCGGGATGAATAGGATTTGAAGAACAGCTTAAGATGTTAAAGCGTAAGCTGGAGGATATCACATATTTAAAAAAAAATGTCTTTCTGTAAAAATACCTTTCAACCTTTCCTGATAACACTACCCGACACGATTTTTCCGCAAGGAACCAAATCAACTTTTTCTGAAAGATATGGGGCTTAGAAATTGTCTGATGATAATTTCTGTAGGGAAGGACCATCATCTAATTTGGAAGAGATTGGAGCATTATTATAGCCATAATGAAGAAATTCATTTGCAGTAGCTATCCCCATTACGTTTTTCCTGCAGATTTTTTTTATTTTATACACATTTTCCCATTCCACACTCAGATTCGTGCAGTGTGTGGATCTAGGGGAGAGGAGAGAGATAAAAGAGCGTGTTGGCGTGAGAAGTGATGTACATGTAGATGTACATATGTAGATGTAAAACGTCAAATGTAAAATTCGAATAAAAACAATGTAGGTGAATTAATTAACAGCAATATTTTAATAGACACCGACGTCCAGGGCACTGGACGAGGAAGAGATAGAGGGAGAGCGACCGCATGGCATGAGGCTGACCTGAGCGAACCATTTCTTCTTAATTCTGTCCATGATCATGACAGCAAAGGGTCTATAATACAGTTCTCATTACAAAAATGGAGACTGACTGTTGTGGTGGCTATAATGCGGTTCTGGATCTAATGTTCATTCGTGCTTTAAATCGAAATCGAACCAGTGTTGGGCTGGCATTCTCGTGCTGGGTTTGGTTATTGTCTTGACTGAGTGAAAGTACTTGCTGTCTTAAGCTCGTGTCCAAAGCTGTTACAAGAAAAGCTTTCAGTAACAGTTTAAAGAGTTTTGGAATATAATATATTAAACCATATGCGTATATTAATGCGCAAATGGTGGCTAATTTGAGGTGTTCTTTTTGAGGTTTGGCACATAAACCATGGACATCGGTTCAGAGCAAGCATTCTCAAGTATGTACGAGTACGAGTATGTGTCTGCTCTTTATGCCGTAGCCACCATCAGACTCACATCCCATAAAACTTTTAATGGCCTGTTAAATGGCTTCGAAGCGAAAACAAAGCAGTTAGCTGGAAGGAAACCCTCTCGTCATTGAAGGGAATGCTTAGCAAAATTCAAATTTAAATGTTCCACTTGATTTGTCATAAATTTGTTTACATTGTTCCAGAAATTTTGATTTCAGGAAATCTTTTTTGATGTAAATCTTGTTAAAATATCCTAATTAAGCAGATGCTCAAAATTGTGTAGAAATCCAGTATTTAAGTATATATAAAATAGCGGGCCGTGTGGCAATTAACATAAATGATTTTTAAACAGTTTTCCTTGTGCTGGAAGAGAAAAAAGTGGTTCTTTTTGAACAACACAAGCGTATAATTTCCCAAAAAAATGAATAATTTGCAGGCTGTTCTCAACTTTTTCACTCAACTATACTTGTATATAGTTAATACCATGTTGAAAAATCTGTGCCCTCTCTCTTCAACATTTTGATTGCATATACTTCTTTGAGAGAAGCCGCAGGCCAACTTTGGTCCATTTAGCATGCAAATGATGTTCTTTCTGTGAAAATTGAATGACTCGTAACTAGATGTATCCACGTTGACGGCGTCACAAGTTATCCTTATCGCTATTGCTGGATCTAAGGTTACCGTGGTAAATGCATTATCATCACTAAGCGCTTGCTGCAATTATGGCGCTAATTGAATTTCTAAATGAATATAATGAGTCGACAGCAACAACAGCATCATCAGCGTCATAGACTAGGATATACGAAGCTCTGAGGCTGATCCCCACAACAATGGAAATTATATAATAATAAGTGCCCAAGCTGTTCAAAGCGACTTCTCAATACCCTTTGTGGCAGCTCCGCTTAAAACTGTGATGCGAAAATACTACATAATGGTATTTAGGATCTTACAATTTACTAGTTTGTGATTTTTAAACTATAAGAGCTTGCATACTTAGTTAATATTGATTTTCACTAGATGTTTAAGGGAGACCTAACAAAATTAAAGTATTCTTGACCAGGGCGAATGAATGGAAATCATTTGGTAAGAATCTACTCTTGCTTTGACTCAACAACATTCTCAGAACTAATATTCCCCAAGCCCAAGGAGCTGGGTTTCTTTCTGAGTGAAAAGGACGAGAGTCTCCTGTAATTAGGTTAAACACACACGTGGCTCCAAGTGCCTTACTTTTCTACGGCTGTGTGTGCTTATGAGTGTGTGAGTGTGAGTAAGAGTGTTGTGGCCAGGCAGGAGATAAAATGCTGCAAAAATGAGGTGAGAAAATGAAATAAAACAACCAACGGCTGGCACAACAAATAAAAATGGCGCGTAATTTGCACGTTTAACCGCATGACAGCAAAGAAATTACACACACCACCCATGCACACAAAGCCACAGAAGAACAACTACACCCCCAAACCTCCACACCCCCACACCCACTTACCCGCGGACACATAGGCACACTCATACGTGTGCATGCGGTGTCTAAATTACAATTACATGGCCAGGCAGAGACAAAAGAAGATGGGAGAAGGAGAAGCACTTAAGTCTTGGGCCGTTGTGGGGGCTGCAGTGGACGCTCCTGTGCTGGACATTTGAGCATATGGTCGCAAAATTATCCTGCTGCCTTCGCAAGCGTCTCGGTTTAGCCATCTATCGTAGTGCCCTTACTCGTGCTGCGCTGCCTGGTCCGAGATGGGTTGATTAATTGAAATTTTCGTGGGCCCGATATTGAGGGGGAAACTCATCAGGGAATAAATTCAAATTTTCAGCATATGCTGAATCGACACTGGAGAGTCGATAAAGATAATGTGATAAGTAATACTACTCGAGTCTTACTTAATGAATTCCGAAATAGTTTCATCCTCTCGCCTAATTCTCTAGAAAAATTTGCGAATGCAATTTGTATATATGTACATACATATATAAAATAGGTGAAGGAGTCACTTTGATGCATTTTACAAATAATATCTTTAAGATGAGAGTTTCTACTTCCAAAGAGGCATTTCCTTAGGTAATTTGTGTTGTTTTATTTCTAGATAGCATTAAATATATATTTAATTATCAGTTCCTCCACAACTTAGACGAGTATTAGATAACAGCTCTCAAGCTCCATAGAAGTGTATACCACTGCCCCTATCCAGTCTTTGGTGCTGTGTAAAAATTTGTTGCCTCTACTTTTAATTATGCCAAGAGTTTGTGTAATGTATCTGAGTGTGTGCCTGTCGATCCTTGGAACGGGTGTTCAAAATTAACAAATAAGCGTATAAATTATTCCACAACACGCTGACAACGCACACATACTCTAGAGAACACCATATGCACGAGCGTGCCTGCTCAGAAACAGGGTAATATGAGACCCATATGCCGACATGGAGCTGAGCTGTGGGGGCCGGGACGGGAATGGACTGGCGCCTCTGCAGCTTTGCCATTTGATGTCATTGTCATCGATGTTCCTGCTCGGCCTTACACTCTCCCAGTAGCCAACAGTCCGTCCATCTTCGTATTACACTGGCCTTAAAACCCACTGCGTTCGTTCTCGTTGTTGATGGTCATTGCTGTGTGTGTTCCTGCTGGTCAAACATTACACTTCCTCAGACCCAACCGACAATCGAGGTGACTATCCTGACTATCTACTGCCCTTTTCTGCACTTATTGCTTATATAAATTATATAGAGATTAACTTTTCTAAAATAGTAGAGACTTTATTCAATGTTTCCAGGCACTTTGAGTTACTGCTCTACTAATTAATGGCGCTCTTGGTCACTACCTGCCAGAGATAACACTATTCGACACGATTTTGCCGCTTCGATCTAAACAAACATTTTATAAAAGATAGACTATCTCCATAGATTTTGACGTGCGACACCATAAACGACGCCCAATCAATACAGCTATTCATAAAAATATATTTTTTTTCGACTTTTCCAGAGTTTTAGAAGTCATAACTTTGTAAAAGTAAACCACTTTGTAAACCACAAAGCATTTGGGTATTTATTATAGTTGCGTTCACCAGCTTTATTGAAAAGCTTAGTTCATTACAACCAGATGTAAGATACTTAAGGTGTGTGAAAAATGAAGCGCTACCTCTAAAAAGACCGTTACAAAAAAATACCAGACTTTAAAAATAAAGAATTAAAAAATAGAAAGCCCTCAGTCTATCAGAAAAAGTCGGTTTGGTTCGAAGCGGAGAAAAAAAGTTGGATTTTGTCTAGTAGTGTAATAATTAAAATTCATTTCAATTCGAGTCAAATAAAATATTGATAATTTTACTGTTCACTCGGCTCGGTTTCTTCAGTTCTTTGCCTGAACTGAGCTATTCGAGAATTTCGCCGTTTTACAATTGTTGGAGGGTACATATACATTCCCGGTTAAGTTCTCTATGGCATATCCTAAATTATGGAGTGAAAAGCTGCTTCGTGTTTTGGACTGCGGCTGGGCTGGCAGCGATAAGCCTCCGCGCATCTGAATGCGTTTAACGGTATTTTTCTCGTTTGTGTAAAAATAATAGCGATAGGGCGGCTACAGGCTCAAAAGTAGACGATGCCTTAGGCCTGACATAAAATATAAAATAAAAGTGCAATAAGCTGACCTAAAGGGCAGCAATTATTTTGTGATGGTAAAAAAAACAA